GGTGGTGGTGGCTTTCCAGCCTCCAGCAGCTGTACTACCTCTTCTCGGGGTGTGGGTGGAGTTGCTGCACGCTGGGTTTGGGGGTTCTTGGGTTCGAGGGAAGAAGTGAGAGGGTCTGGTGCTTGAAGTTGTGTAGATACAGTGATCAGGGACGTGGTTTAGCAGGGGGCTTGGCAGAGTGAGGTTAGTGGTTGGATTCGGTCCCAAAGGACTTTTCCAGCCTAAGCAATTTGATGATTCTCACTGGTTCAGATCTGATTCTGTATAAAGAGCTGTTTTGCTTATGCAAAAGGTTGGCAGAGGGCAGTGGGGCCCCCCCTTCTGAGCATCCCTGCCCTGATTCCCCTCAGCTATCCCCTGCTGAGGACAAGGATGAGGGGCTGCAGGGTGGTACCACAGTCTGGCACCCAAAGAGACCTCCCAGCACCATGCTGGCTGGTGGATTTGTACAGGCTGGGGTGGTGTCAGCTTGAGCATTTTTGGGACCACGGGCTGTTTTCTGCCTTTGCAGACAGGACTTTGACAGTACCTGTTGCCTCAGCTCCTGCTTTCTGTGAGCTCACCCTGATGATTTCTCAGGCAAATCTGCCATGTTAACACCTTGGTGGTGGCGTTGGCAGGACAGCACTTGTTTGGGCCCAAATCTGCAGCTTTCTAGTCCAGTATTATATATATTCTTGGCTTTATTGAGAACACTCAGCAGAGCTGCAGGTTCCAGCCCTGCCTGTGACCTCTTGCCTCTGCCAGGCTGATTCCTGTCTGGGAAAGCAGAGGTTGAGTCCCCCATCTGCATCCCTAATTCCTCCCAAAAGCGGAGGGGGATGCAGAGAACCCCCCAGCCCATGGAGATGCTGCAGCAGCAGCCAACGGCCCTCGCCTGGTCCAGCGGATGAAACGGGAGCAAGCAGCAGAGCTAAAAAAAGTCCAGTGACCTAATCCAGTTTCCATGGCAACGTTGTAGATTAATGGCTTTTAGCTGTAATCTGAATGAGATGTGTTGAACTTTTTCTGTGATGATTTAGAGCCTCTTTATGTCCTGGATGACTTTGGCTTCCAATCCATCGGTCACGTGCATGCAGAAGTATCCCCTTGTAGTGGTGGAGGAGCAACATCTGCTGCTGCTAAACCAGGAGCTAATGTCACTGAGCATGGTGTGTGAGTAAGTACCCTCAGCTGGTACAAGGCTGCCCCAGAAAAGACAACGTGTAGGACATGGGGAAGTCGTTTTCAACATGTGCTTCTCCTGGTGCCACTTGAACTGAGGTGGTGTTGCCACAGAGGAAGCAGGATGGCTCAAGACCAGCAAAGGAGAATGTGTTTTCTTCTCTTCCTAGCTCAGCAGAGAGCTTCTTGGCAGCACGGCTGCATCCTCCTGATCTATAGCCATGGCTAGCAGAGGTGTTTTGGAGTGGGCTTGGCTGAGTGCTGGCTGCTGGCCCTTGAGCTCTGCAGGCAGATGGGTGCCCCTTGTCAACAGGGAAAGGAAAAAGCAGCAAAAGCTTCATTTCATAGCTTGCATGTGCTCTAGGAGCAGATGTCATAGAGTCATAGAATGGTTTGGCTTGGAAGGGACCTTTAAAAGCCATCTAATCCAACCTGCCTTCAATGAGCAGGGACATCCCCAACTAGAGCAGGTTGCTCAGAGCCTTCTCTGACCTCACCTGGAATGGTTCCAGGGATGGGGCAGCGACCACCTCTCTGGGCAGCCTGGGCCAGGGGCTCACCACCCTCACCATCCAAAATTTCTTCCTTCTCTCTACTCTAAATCTCTCTCTTTTAGTTTAAACCACTCACCCCTTGTCCTGACTCAACAGGCCCTGCTAAAAAGTCCCTCCCCAGCTTTCTTTTACACCCCTTTAGGGACTGGCAGCCCCCAGCAGGTCTCCCCAGCTGGAGCCTTCTCCTCTTAGGCTGCCCCAACCCAGCTCTCTCCTGCTGGGCCCCCAGCGGAGGGGTTCCCCCCTCAGACCATTCCTGTGGTCCTCACACCCCGAGTGTCCCCATCGTGCTCACATAAGTGGTCTCAGTGCCACATAACCACACGGTGAGTGTGTGTTTCTAGGGTGCCTGGGCTCGGTGACTGGCATGGGTGCCACACTATCCCCCACAGAGGGGAGTGGGATGGTTGTGCCACGCAGGTTTCTGCCAGGGGCTGCCCATGATGGGGATGCTTGAGATGCCAAGTGTGCTGTGCTGGTGGCCTGGCTCACAGGCTGGCTGTGTACGAGACCTCTGGGCTGTGGGTGAATCTTCTGCAGTGGGAAAATAGGTGCAGCATCAAAGAGCTGTGGATGGCAGCCCAGCCCCTGGGGAGCAGGGAGATGAAAGGCTGGTGGCGTGGCTGGAGCTGGGTAGCTCGTTTGATGCTGATCTCGGAGTCTCTTTCATAGGGGTGATGTCGTGCAATAGTAATCACTCAGGAACCTTTTGCTTTCTCCCCAGCACTGGAAGACACGAGACAGCGAGGAGTACGAGGCCGAGGGTAAGAGCAAACAGCAGCACTTGTAGCAGCTTCTTCTCCTTCCAGCTGTGAAGATGAATCAGAGGAACACTTCAAGGTGTCTTAAGGAGCTGGGTGCACTGAGCTGTCCCGGGCTGGCATGGTCCAGAGCTTGGGAAGGCTCACATGGGACCAACCTGCCCCAAGCTGGGAAAGAAAGCTGAAGTGGGGCTCCTCTCCATCCTGCCTGGTGCAGATGCTCCTGCTCTCCCTGCCCAGAACAGCCCGCGGGTCCTGGTCCCTGCTCATGTCCTGGCTGTAGTGGAGCCCAGTAGGCACTAGATGTCAGCACGGACCAGTCCTTAAATACTCCCTAATTGTCCTAGAAGGGAGAGTAGGGTGACCCTGGGGGGGCTGTTGGGCTTTGGCACGAACCCGCTGCACAAAAAGATGTTTGTAACTAAGCTGTGCAGCTTTTACACCTCGTCAGTATTTCAGCTGCTTTGTAAGCCCTGCCCCATCCCAAGGGACCAGATGTGTTCTCCAAAAGCTGCTTTTTCCAGCCCCAGGAATGAGGGAGCAGCTGAGCAAGCTCTGGCTGGTTTGTCTAGTGAGGATTTCCAGCTGGCTGAGACCACTCCAGGCTTTGCTGGAGGTAGAGGAAATGTGTTCAGCTGAAGGCTCTTGGATTTTTTTTCTTCTCCTGAAGGGGTGTTTGGAAGTACTTAGATCAAAAAATACACTACAGTTTACATTTGAAAGAGGATGGGAGTTGAGGCACCTGCACCTGGGTGGTGACATTTATGGAGACAGGCAACCAGTGAAGTTTTTGACCTAGCCAAGGCATCTGGATATGCATCTTGCTCAGTCCTCTCCCCCAGTCCCATTAACTGCCTGGAGGATGAGGGGTCTCTTCTCCATCCATGCTGGTGGCAGGGCTGTGCATCCCCAGGCCACCAGCCTGTGTTGTCCATCAGACATCTGTCCCCCCAGAGCCCCTCCTGGCTGTGGTCCCAGCAGCCCACACTGTGCCTGGATGTGGGGTTCCCTTGCCTCTGGTGGCATGAGCTGAATCCTGAGCAGGATCTGATCCTTCTAGTAGGGTGTGGTAGCTGTACTCCAAAACTACAAGTGTGCTCTGTGGGAGTTGATGTAAGACAGATGGTCCCACCTTGCTGCTGGTTGCAGAAGGGAGTGCCAGGGTCAGGCTGTAGCACGAGCAGCCTCCCATTGGTGTTTGGTAGAGGGGGGTGTTGGAGAGTGTTTGGGGTTAGTAGCACACCGGGCTGCCCCACGGGAAGCATTGATTTTGACATCTCCCTCCTGTTTCCTCGTGTGCCTTTGAAAGCACATGTGGGTTGAGCAGCTCCTTCCATCCTTCCTCATTGGTTTTGGCTGGAGAGGAGAAACTCGGTTCAGCTCATTGGTGAACTTCCTGGTTTGGGGAGCACGGTGTGCTGCTTTTTGCTGCTTTTGGCTGGCTTTTTTGTTCAGCCTGGAGAAGAGAAGGGTCTGGGGAGACCTACTTGCAGCCTTTCAGTGCTTCAAGGGGGCTGAGAAGAAAGTTTGGGGCAGACTTTGTAGCATGGCCTGTTGGGACAGGACAAGGGGAGATGGTTTGGAACTAAGAGGGAGATTTAGACTGGATAGAATGACGACTTTTTTGCTGCTGAGGGTGGTGAGCCCCTGGCCCAGGTTGCCCAGAGAGGTGGTCACTGCCCCATCCGTGGAACCATTCCAGGTGAGGTTGGCCGGGGCTCTGAGCAACCTGCTCTAGCTGCAGATGTCCCTGCTCAGGGCAGGGGGTTGGACTGGGTGGCCTTGAAAAGTCCCTTCCAACCCATTCTATGATGAGAAAGAAGAGATGCTCTGCCTGCTGCAGCAGTGAGTTTCCCCATGCTGTGCAGAACCTCCAGGTCTTCTGGCAGTCACCTGTGTGCAGTGGATGGACAGAAACCAGAGCATTTTCCCCCATTTCCAGGGCAGCTGCGCTTCTGGAACCCAGATGACCTAAACGCTTCTCCTGGAGCATCACTGCCCACCCCAGACTGGATAGAGGAGAAACTGCAGGAGGTCTGTGAGAACCTTGGCATTACCAGGGATGGCCACCTCAACAGGAAAAAGCTCATCTCCATCTGTGAGCAGTATGGGCTCCAAACAGCAGCTGGGGAGGTGAGTGGCCACCTACGGACCTGCTCCCATCAGTGCATGCCCTTGGGTATTACTGTCCCCACAGTGTGTCCTGTGGTTGACCACAAGCCTGAAGCACAAGTGCTGGTTAACACATCCTACTTGGAAAGGGGATTTCAGCTCCAGCTCATGGCTTTCCCAGCAAGTTTGTTGGTGTCCCACCATCAGATGTGGGAGGCTGCTCTAGTAGAAGGCAGCTGCCAGGCTTCCTGACACCAAAGTGTGCGTGTCTTCTCATGCAGCTGCAGAGTAAACTGGAATTTAAAAACATATCCTAGATTCCAAGCATGTCTCCTTAATCCCTGAAATCTTCTAGCTCAATGGTAAACGTGGTTAAAATATTCATAGATGGTTGCTTTGGACTTTGAGAAGGCCTGCAGGCAGTTTCTATCCTCCAGGAAAAGCCCAGAAGAAAATTATTTCTTTAGCAAAAGTCTCTTTTCAATTCAGGATTTAGTTTTATAAAAAAAGAGGCATTTTTTTGCATCTTAAAATAACATGGGTTGTAATAATTTCCTTCATAAAATCTGTTTCTGAGCAGGTGTTCCTCTGCAGCTTTTGCAGCAAAACATTTTCAGGATATTAAGGCATAAAATGGAAAAAAATGAACTGTAGACAAAGAAATAGTGAGGGGCTAATCTCAACATCTCTGGCCTCAATAAGATTGGTCTTGCTTTGCAGAAAGCAGAATGCCCTGGGGCACAAACCAGATTTATTACAACCTTGCAGTGTCTTGCTGTGCTTTTTCACCTGGTCACTCCAAGCTGCTGGGCTTTTGGCTTCTCTCACTACCTTGCACTGAAGTCTTGAGGTCACCCCTTCTCTAGAGCAGAAGGAAACAAGGGGTTTTCAGGCTGCCTAGCAAGGCAGAGGCTCCAAGATGACCAGGAGCTTACATGCTCTTGCAGGCAGGACTCATGCAGTGTACGTGGCTCTGGAGTGTCCTGTGTGAAGGTTCCTGTACCTGTTACACTCCAACAGCCTGGGCCTGGCACATCTTTTGCTCTGCTCCTGTTTTGTAGAGCCTAAGGAACAGGGTGTTTTCTTCTGTGCCCAGCTTACCGTGGTGGTTTTTGGCAATGACAGCTGTGACTTCTATCCCCTGCTGCTTGCAGGTGCTTGAAGAGGTGCTCCACAACCTGGAGCAAGATGAGACCATGAGTGTAGAGGACTTCTTCTATGGCTTGTTTAAGAATGGCAAGTCACTGACACCCTCGGCGTCCACTCCCTACAGACAGCTGAAACGACACCTCTCCATGCAGGTGAGAGCCTGGGGTGGATCCTGGGCTAAAGGGAGGAGGAAACAGGCTAGGTGGGATTTGCTCTTCCTCCCCATTTCTCCCTGTGGTGGGGTAGCAGTGATGGTGCCCCTGCCCCATCGAGGTAGATGATGGCCATGAGCCAGGCGTGTCCCAGTGACCGTGGACATGGGTGCCTCTGGCCCAGGCAAGAGCGATGGGGTGAAGCTGCTGGAGGCTTCCTTTGGGGGTGTGTGTGGTGGGATAAAGCAGAAATAGAATAAAGAAAATATCCTCAGGGAAAAGGGCCCTTTAAAGTAGTGTGAAGTAGTTTAAAGTTTGAAATCTACTGCCCGTCCTTGCCAGGAAGCTGAGGGCTATAGCAAAAGCACCTTTGCATATGCTCCCTGCAGTCTTTTTAGGGGAGATCATAGAATCACTGTGGTTGGAAAGGACCTCTAGGCTCATCAAGTCCATCCTCCACCCCAACACTTCCCTAACCACTAGACCATAGCCCCAGGTGCTGTGATGACCTTTGAAACCAAAACCGGCTGGTGGAACACCCTTTTGGAGCATTGAGGAGAGCTCTGAAACGGTTCCGTCCGCGCTGCAGCGAGGCCAAGCAGATCTTCCTCCTTCATCCCCAGGGCAGTGTCAGTGCAGTCCCCCTCCCCAGCCTCTCTGGTGGCTCCTCTGACCCTCTCCCCTCTCGGCAGTCCTTCGATGAAAGCGGGCGGCGCACCACCACCCCCTCGGCCATGCCCAGCACCGCCGGCTTCTGCCTCTTCTCCAGCCTGGATGATGGCATGGGCCACGGCTGCGTGGAGGATGTCCTCGACTGCTGGCACCAGGAGGGCATAGAGAACAGCCAGGAGATCCTGAAGGTAACCCTCTCACCCCTTTGATTGCCTTTTTTCCTGGATGTGAGTAGCTGGATTTATTTTTTCCCCTTCTACAGTTCTTGGTTCTAGTGAGAGGAGTCAAACCACTTTGGGAATTTCCTAATTACTGAAGCACTGGTGCATCCCAGAGAGATAGGATTTAATGGTAAAAAAATGTAACATGACTTCCAGCTTAGCTCCAAGAGGTCACCTAGATTTGTAGAAAGCAATTTAATTCCTTTGTCTCCCTGAATAGCTGCACCTACAAACCTTTTAGTACTGAGATGACCTGAATTACTGCTAGTGCTAGGGTGGAGGACAGCTCTTGAAACCCTGCCCAGTAATTAGCGCTTTATTGTCTGGAGTGAAAGGTTCATGAGGGTTGCAAATTGAATAGCTGAAGTAAACCCCATCCGTGTTTGTCTTGCTAGAAGCCACGGCCAGGAGGAAATAATTTCACTTCTCTATCCTGAGACCATTGCTGCTGGGAACCCAGCGATGGTGGCAGATTTCTCCTGGCATCTCATGTGCATGGAGATGATGAATATCCAGCTTGGAATAAGCTCTGCTCTTGCTCAGGCTTGAAAACCCACTTGCAGCCTGGGCTCGTACTGGCCAGTTTTATAACCTGGTTCTGTTTTCTCCAGAATCCTGTGGTGCACCTTTACCTTCTGCTGGTTGCTTACCACTGATAACTTGTTGTGTTACTGGTGTCACTGAGGTTGTTTCTCCAGCATTTCAGCCCCACCACCCACCCTGCTTTGTGCTCCTGCAGAGTTACATTGAAGGAAATTAAAAGCAGTTGCTGGTAATTTATTTTCTAAGAGGTGAGATCCTTGCTATCAAACAGCTCCTACAAGGCTTCTTCTGTGTGGTCTTTATGGCAAGAGCTGGTTTTTTTTTGTTTTTTTTTAACATCTTCAGCTGCTTTCCTGTAGCATTTGAATGTGTAAAAGGCCAGGGTAGTTGGATCCTCACAAGAATTAGTACTTTTAATCAGCCATAGGCTTAATTTCCTCTTGTCTTGCAGCCCAGGCAGGACACTTTCCATCTCCACAGCTGGCAGCAGCTCTTTAACATAGGAAGGTGGCCGAGCTGTCTGGTTTATTGCCCTAGAGGCATTTGTGTGTGACAGATTAATCACCAAGCAAAGATCTTTCCTGAGCCTCCTCGTTTTACCCTGTCACTTCACACAGGAATGTCTCCAGGCTCTGGGAAAGCTCTAACAATGTGTTGCTTTGCAGGCTTTGGATTTCAGCTTGGATGGGAAGGTGAACTTGACAGAGCTGACGCTGGCCCTGGAAAACGAGCTGCTGATAACCAAGAATGGAGTCCACCAGGCAGCCCTGGCCAGCTTCAAAACAGAGATCAGACACTTGCTGTAAGTTGCCAGGATCATGGGCTCTGCTGCAAGTGCCTTCTTTGGGGGAGCCAGGAGGGGTGACCTAATCCAGGCTGGCTGTGCTTACTCTAGGGAGAGGGTGGACCAAGTGGCCAGAGAGAAGGAGAAGCTGCGGTCGGACTTGGAAAAAGCTGAAAAGCTGAAATCCCTGATGGCCTCAGAAGTGGACGACCACCACGCAGCCATTGAGCGCCGGAACGAGTACAACCTCAGGTACAGCCTCCTGCTTCACCTCTCCCTTCCTCTTCATCCTCTTCCTCATCCCTGCTATGACACTGCAGGCACTCGGTGACAGAGCTGGGGGCTCTGTGCCTTCTGGTGGCCACCAAGCCTCACTCCCAGCAGTTATTTGACACCTGCTTCTTCTGACAAGCCCTTCTTCCCTGTGGTGCCTCTGCAGGAAGCTGGACGAGGAGTACAAGGAGAGGATTGCAGCTCTGAAGAACGAGCTGAGGAGGGAGCGGGAGCAGATCCTGCAGCAGGCCAACAAGCAGCGGCTGGAGCTGGAGCAGGACATGGAGAAGCTGAAAACTGAAGAGGGCTACATGCGGGACCGCCTGGCCCTTGCCCTGAAGGTACTGGGGGCTGAATGCAGCTGGGGTGCTCCCCCAAAAGGCAAAGGTGCCCCAAAGTGAGCTCACCCTTCTTAAGAGGATGCTTTACAGTGCATATTTTGCTTGCTGGAAGTGATTGTAGCAAGAGAGAGGCTTTTTGGGTCACCTCAGGAGGTTGCTGCTTGGATCCGTAAAGCTCCAGTTCAAATCTCTGCTGCCATCAAGTGCAGAGTCTGTGTGTGGATGGCTGTCGATGAGCCCTCTGCCTTGCTGGCTCTTTGGCTGTCCAGCCAGGAAATTGTGTCTTGACAAAGTTGAAAATATTGCTTTAGAAACACAAAATCCAACCAATCAAAAGAAAACCCCCAAACCCTCTAAAGCAAGCTTGCTGTTACACCTTGTGGTAATTTATCTGCTGCCTAATGTGATGGTATCACTCACCTATGATCCCAGAGAGTCACATCCTTTTCCTAGTGGTGTTTTTTTTAGAAAACACTTAAGTCATGGTTCTGACTGATGCTTTTAGCACCTAATTAAGTTTGCTCAGTTAAAAAGTGCTGGTGTTGTCTTACAAATGACATGAAAAGTGCTGACAGTCACAGGGAGCTAATATACCTTTGCAGATGTTCAGGCAAGCAGCTTTTGAAGGGGATGGCTGTCTGGGAGCATCAGGAGAACTGTAAAATGCTCCTTCTGAAGCAGCCACCTCCAAGGTGGGAGGAGAGGAGCAGCACAGGGTTTGTGAGCCAGCTGTGGGTCCAACGTGTGCGTGGATTCACAATTCCTGTCTTCAGCTGAAGCCTGTAGCAGTGTCATGCTCTGGCTTGACTGGGAGATGACCCATTTCTTAATGAGTTACCATGTGCTAATGTTTTCCTTCTCCAAATGCTGAGGCTGTTGGGGGGGTTCTGTTTGGTCCAGGAGAACAGCCGCCTGGAAAATGAGCTGTTGGAATCAGGAGAAAAACTGGCTGAGTATGAGAGCTTGGCAAGCAAACTGCAGAGGAACTTGGAAAATGTCCTGGCTGAGAAGGTAAATCCTCCTCTTCCCAGTGTGCATCCCGAATTAAATTGCTTTTCAGTCACTGTGCTCAAGCTGCCAACTGAATAGCTGGAGGCTCTTGGGGGATCTGTTGAGGTGTGACCAAGGCACAGCCCACCTGGTTGACATGGACTGCCTGACTGACTTCTCCTTAAGGAAATTAAAGATACTTCACCTTAGCTGTTGATTAATACTAATTAACAGCAGAGAGTGTTGCAGTGAAGCAGTCAGCCTGCAGATTGCCAGGGATTTCATTCCTCAGCACCATAGTCTTGGGTACACCTGAGGTGCAGGTCCTTCTTAGGAAAGCTGATGCACATGGGGATCAGTGTTACATGGCATCTCTGCTGAACTCAGATGACAATCGAAGTGATCATGGTTGTATTACAAAAGCCTTGTCAGAATATCAATTTCTCCAAAGGCAGTTCAGTCCAACAGGTTGAGGGAGAGTTGAGCCACTCTGCCCTGCTCTGAAGAGACCCCCCTGCAGTGCTGGGGCAGCTCTGGAGTCCTCAGCAGAGCCAGGGACCTGCTGGAGCAGGGCCAGAGGAAGCCCCAGCAATGCCCCGAGGGGGGAACCCCTCTGCTGGGAGCCCAGCAGGAGAGAGTTGGGCTGGGGCAGCCTGAGAGGAGAAGGCTCCAGCTGGGGAGACCTGCTGGGGGCTGCCAGGGCTTCAAGGGGCCTGGAAGAAAGCTGGGGACAGACTTTTTGACAGGGCCTGTTGGGACAGGACAAGGGGTGATGATTTGGGACTAAAAGAGGGAGATTGAGACCAGAGAGAAGGGAGGAATTTTGGCTGCTGAGGGTGGTGAGCCCCTGGCCCAGGCTGCCCAGAGAGGTGGTCGCTGCCCCATCCCTGGAACCATTCCAGGTGAGGTTGGCCGGGGCTCTGAGCACCCTGCTCTAGCTGCAGATGTCCCTGCTCAGGGCAGGGGGTTGGACTCTGTGACCTATAAAGGTCCCTTCCCACCTAGTCTGTGATTCTGTCATATACTGGGATTCTCACCCAGCAAGCTGAGGTGTGCATAGGCTAGGCTAGGAAGCTGTGGCCTGCAGTCAGAGTTAGCCTGAGAGCTATGGTGAGACAGCAGCTAGTATTGGGTGGGGAGGTTGCTCGTTGTCCTCTACCAGCAGAGATGTGGAGCTACTGCATTTATAGTCCAAAAAAAAAAAAGGGGAGGGGAGTGCCCAGGCTGCAGGACCCCTTCTGACTGGCCCTCGGGGAGGGGTGAGCAGAGCTGTTGAGTGGAGCAGTAACTCAGTCCCGTTGCTGCCCTTGCAGTTTGGTGACCTGGACCCCAGCAGTGCCGAGTTCTTCCTGCAGGAGGAGAGGCTGGCCCAGATGAGAAGCGAGTACGAGCGGCAGTGCCGGGTGAGTGGAGCCCAGGGCTGCAGACCCCTTGTCCAGGAACACCCTTACTGCAAGCAGCTGCAGCACAGCACTGCTGGGTTCTTTTTTTCCTTGTGTAATGACTTTTTTTTACACTCACCCAAGCTCTTAGTGGGTGGAAGGGTCTTGCCACAGAGGTAACTGGCTGAGCTAAGAGGGTGATGTGCCCCAAGGGTGGGCTTGGGGTCTACAGAGCCCCCTTTGTTCCCCAGCTGGACATCAGGCTCAGCTCCCTGCATGGTTATGCTCTAGTGGTTTTTTTTATTTATGAAATAAACTTTCAATTCAGAGTTGCAGGAACTTACAGCAGAAATCAGCTATATCTGAGTTTTGCTCTTTTCCAAAAGAGTAGTATTTTCTTAAAACAAAACTGAACAAGTAAAGCTTGTTTTCTTTTGCCCAAATCTTGTGTGGCTGAAATACTTCTTTAAGGTAGGCCTTCAAATTACCTATCTAGGCATCTACTTTCTGATGAGTACTATGCTTACCAGCTTTCAGCTCATCTGTTCTGCCTGATCCTTTTCATTCCATAATAGACTACCCTGGCAAAAGGCTGTTGGAGCAGGTCCAGAGGAAGGCACAATAATGATATGTGAGGGCTGGAACCCTTCTGCTGGGAGGCCAGCAAGAGAGAATTGGGCTTGGGCAGACTGGAGAAGACTTCAGGGAGACCACCTAGTGGCCTTTCAGAACTTCAAGGGGCCTGTCAGAAAGCTGGGGACAGACATTTTTGGCAGGGCCTGTTGTGACTGGACAGGGGGTGATGGTTTGAAACTAAACGAGGGAGATTTAGACCAGAGAGAAGGAAGAAATTTTCCACACGGTGTGGTAAGCCCCTGGCCCAGGCTGCCCAGAGAGGTGGTCGCTGCCCCATCCCTGGAACCATCCCAGGGGAGGTTGGCCGGGGCTCTGAGCACCCTGCTCTAGCTGCAGATGTCCCTGCCCTGCAGGGGGTTGGACCAGATGGCCTTGAAAGGTCCCTTCCCACCCAAACCATTCTGAGATTTGATGATTCTAATCTGAAACAGTGCAGGGGCTCTCTTAGGAAGCTGCAGTTGAAAAGCAAAGGTTTTCTAGAGATACTTGCTGAATTGATACTCCTTGATAATAAGTTGCTTGAATGTGCTATTGAATTTTTCTTTTTAAGCACTGGCAGACACAAATCAGTACTCAAGGTTTGCTTTCTGAACCCCTGAAATCTGCAGAATTGTGTGTTTATACAGCAGGGATTCATTTTCCTCAATAAAAGCTGTTCATGGAGTGCCCAGCACTTGGCTCACACACTCGGGATATTCTGCTGGCACGGGGCAGAAGTACCAGATGGTAAATGCAGTAATGAGGGGATCTCCTTCCTAATTTGATCTTTTGCTTCTGATTTGATTTTGCAAGTAGATGGTGCTTGGGGAAGAGGTATTTCTCAGCTGTTTAGAAAACGTTTCTGAGCTGCTGTTTAGAAAAGGTCATAGGAAGAAGGAATTAAGTGGAAGGTCCTGGAGCACCGTGTACTTTAGAGGCAGAATAGAGGCTGAAAGAGGGTTCTGCTCTTCCAGTCAGGGACTGGCACAGGTTGGAACCTGGAGAAGGGTGTTGTCTTCCTGATAGAAGGATGACTAAGTGTGACACGATGGCAGAGTTATTGACAAGCCTTTACCTACTCTAATTCCTTCCTAGATGTCTCATTGTGGGAGTGTTGATGTACAGATGCTTGGCTCCCCTGTTTGCTTTCACTCAAGTTTGGTTTTTTCCCCCTTTCTCAGGAGCTGCAAGACCAGATAGATGAGCTGCATTCAGAGCTCCAGGAGTACCGTGCTCAGGGCAAAGTGCTCAGACCTTCACTGAAAAATTCACTGTCAGAAGAGTTTGACTTTGATATGAAAAGTCATGGCAATAGTGGTATTGAGCCTGACCAAGGTAAAGCACATCTCCTGTATCCTGTGTTTCTGATAGTATCTTAGAGGCAATGATGTAAAAACTTTCCCAAACCTTCATGGTGAGACTCTCTTTGGGCTTCAAAGATATGTATCTGATTCCCGTTTTTTAAAGGACTTGGTTCAGAAGACTGCAACCCATTAAACATGAGCATAGAGGCAGAGATGGCTATTGAACAAATGAAGGAGCAACATCACAGGGATCTGCATCACCTCAAACAGGAGCTTGAAGACACAGTAAGCTATTTAACTTAAAATGAAACTTTGCAGCTTTTTCAGCCTCTTCATACAACTGGAATGGTCTTGGAGAAGGACTTTTAATTCCTGGTCAAATTATAACCTTCCTGTGAATCTGAGCTTCTACCTTCCCTGCTCCTTCTGCATGTCACTGTGATGGGGATGGCTGAGGGAAGGCTGCAGTAGCTCCTCATGCTGCTCAGTCTTTCCACACGTGCAGAAATATCTCCATTGGCTCCATGTGGAGAAATCTTGGATTGAGGTGGACTTTCAAGGCTTGGCAGCTCCACTCCAGTGCCTGTCTATGGTGCTAGGAAGAGCTGGCACAGCTTTGGTCACAACACCCACCAGCCTATGCTGGCACCTGTCAGAGACATGAGGTGGCCAGTGGCCAGGCTTGTTCTGAGGGAGTCAGCTCAGGACCAGGAGGTGGAGAGTCCCATCAGGTTTCCACTGCTGGTGTCAGACCAGTGCCCACCTCCAGATGAGAGGTGGCTATAGAATTGTGGTTGTTACAGAACTATGTGTTCATTGCACTCAGGGCATAACACAGGTACACTGAAACTGGGACAAGGCTGGGATGGGAATGGGAGAAGGGGGCTGATAAAATACCACCCCAGAATCCTAACTTTTCCTTAGGGATTTGTCTCATGTCAGTTGTATAAACAGAAAACAAAGCAAAGAAAAAAAAAAAAAAAAAAAAAAAAAAAAAAAAAAAAAAAAAAAAAAAAAAAAAAACAAAAAAAAAAAAACAAACCCAACCACTTAAAAAGGACAAGGCTCGTTTGCTTCTTAATTTGGGGAGAGTTCTGAAAAGGTAATCATGGAGTTACAGAATGGCTTGAGTTGGAAGGGACCTTAAAGATAATCTAGTTCCAGCCCCCCTGCCATGGGCAGGGGCATCTGCAACTAGAGCACATTGCTCAAAGCCCCATCCAACCTGGCCTTGAATATCTCTAGTGATGGAGCATCCACAACTTCCCTGGGCAACCTGTGCCAGTGTCTCACCACACTCACAGTGAAGAACTTCTTCCTAATTCCTAACCTAAATCTCCCCTCTCCCAGTTTAAACCCATTACCCCTCATCAGTGAAATAAGAAAATCCATTTGTAATTTGCAAAATGAACCTGGGACTTAAAAGTTGTTGTTGGTGTCTCTCTTCACTGATTTGCTGAATGGAAAAGAATGAATTTCACTGGTTTTTAGATAATAATCATCTTTATCCCAGTAAAAAATTAAGCTGAGCACTTCAGCATTCCTTGCAGGGGAAGTCAATATAAGATGCTAATGTACAAATCAAAATATCTTGTAGAATATATGGAAATGTATGGTACAGAAATGTTGAGGAAACATCTCTGTAGAATATTCTGTTATAAATGACCCAGCCCCATCTGTTTTCCTCTTTCTAGGTGAGCCATTATGAAAAGCAGCTAGATGAGACAAAAACCCACTGTGAAAAGGAGCAGGAGGATATGAGGAAGAAATATGCTGAAGAGATGCACGTCATGGAAAAGCAAATAACTGGCCTTAAACATCAGATTGCAGAACTGCAAGGAGAGGCAGCAGTGCTCAGAGAACAGCAGGAAAAGCTTGACTGTAAATATCATGATGAGAAAAATGAATTGCAGATGCATTTTGAGGAGGAAAAAGCCAATCTGCAAGAACTATTGAGGCAGGAACATGAAGATGATGTTAGAGCCAGGCTGGAGCAGGTAAATGAGAAGTTCAGTCAAGAACGGGAAGAACTGATTCAAAATGGTGTCTGGGTGGAAGAAAAGATGAGAGTTTTAGTGCAGACACTGCAGGAGGAGAAGGGAGAGTTGGAACGTGGCTTTCAGGAGCAGCTGAAAAGGATGGCAGAGGTGCATGCCCTGGAGAAGGAGGAGCTCCAGCAAGAGCTGCTGAGGAAGCACGAGCAGGACCTGGAGGAGGAAAGGTGAGTGTCGTGGCTGGCAGGGACAGGAGTACTCTAAGCTGACCTTGGTGGCTTGGTATGGTGACCAAAGGGAACCTAGTGCAGCAATGACTCCTGGTGCTTCATTCACTGTTTTGTTCCAGAACACTGGGCTGCTGACCAGGGGCTTTTTCTTCTGACCTTTCTCAAGTAGATATTTGTCTTTTTAGCTCACCCAGAGGCAACAGTAGTGCTAAAGCATAACTAGATGTGATTAACTTGAGCTCTGTTCAGGATCCCTGTGCTCTATAAATCCCTGCCTTGTCCTTTTAAAGCATCTGGGTTTTCAGAGTTGTTCTTTTCTGAAGACATAAAGGAATGGCTGGTAAATGCTTTTAGCCAGGATTGAGTGTCAAAAAGAAACTGAAACCATCCTGGGGTGACAAGGAGAGCTGAGGGTAAGAACAACTGCCCCCCCAAATCTGGTGACAAGATTAGAAGGGCATATATTGTACATGAAACCTTTTCTGAGGACATTTCATGAGTTACACTTTTCCAAGGCAGGTAGATTTTTGTACTTGAAGTTCCAACAGATTGCTTTAAATTTAACTTTGGCTCTCAACCAGTAGAACTTCATCTAAAACTCAGTGAAAAAGTATTTTTTCAGCTTGTTTCCTTCAGCCTAAAAAGCAATTTGGATCTTTTTGAGTTAGCCCAGAGTTTAGTAATATATTATGTTAACCATGTTTAGGAAAAAAATGGAAAGTGACTATAACAGAAGAGCATCTCAAGCAGAAACTCAGTTTTCTGTCAACACACAAACCCTTGTGAATAAATACGAAGAAACAATCCAGAATCTGGAAGGACGTTACCAGCGAGAGTTGCGTGAACTTGCCGAGCAGCGGAGAGAGGAGAAATCTCAGTGGGAGTTTGAAAAGGATGAGATTGCTCAGGAGGTTGCTGAAGCCCACGAGCAACTGAAGTCAAGTCTGGCAAATGAAAAGGCTGTTTCTTCTGCCCTGACCCAGGAGAAGGATCTCTTGGAGAAAAACTTCAAGGAAGAAGTGAACAAGCTTGTGTGTGAAAGAGAGCAGCTTCAGAAGGAGCTGCAAGAGCTGAGGAGTGCTGCAGAGAAGCAAGAGCAAAAGCTGAAGGATAAAATAACACAACTCCAAAATGACCATGAAAAAGAGCTAAAGAACAAAGAGGAGCATCTATCTGTGGTGGAGGAAAATGGGAAGCTGGTTAGGCAAAAGCTAGAGAGGCTTGACAGTGAGTATAAGCAAGAGAAAGAAGACCTCAATTCCAAACTTCTCGCTTTGGAGAATTTAAACAAAGACATTTGTGTAAAAGCAGAAACAGAAAAGGCCGAGATGAATTTGGAAATCTCAAACCTCCAAGGGAAAATCCAGAAACTGCAGTGGGAGACCCATAGTTTTTCCATGCTCCAGAATCATTATAGGCTCCTGGAAAATGAGTATGCCAAAGCAAAGAGCAAAATCGCTTCTTTCTCTGGTATGGCCCCTCTGGGAGATGATGTGGATGTCCTGCTAAATCTGCAGAAAGTGCACGAGCAAGCTGTGAAGGAAAATGTCAGGATGGCTGCTGAGATCATCAGGCTGCAGCACAGGTTGGGAGCTGTGAAGCGGGAGCCCACGAGACCTCCCATTTCTGACTCGGAATCATCTCTGCTGCCAGATGAAATGGATCCCAGTTTTGAAGGGTTGCCCAGTGATTGTAAAGAGCTGGAGGAGGGAACAGTTCAGCTTTTGGAAGCGGATACTACAGACCTGGAAGAAATGGCTGAGATTGAGTCAGATTTGGAGGAAGTATGTGGTAAAGCCAGAGCAGGGAGAGATCTTGAGGAAACTCTTGAGAGAGTTCCCAGACCCAAAAGGCCGCTCAATAATGTTAAACAGCAGAAGGTCCATCTGCTAAATCACAGCATAGCTCACCAAAATAAAGGGTCTGTTTCTGATGCTTTGAAACTGCAGGTTGATCTTGAGAAGGCTGAAGAACTGAGTGACACCTCTCTCCAGCTTGATCATGCTCCCAGGTCAACAAATGGTGACCTGAAAAGCGTCATAGCTCAGCTTTGGGAAAGGGTGGAAGAGTTAGAAGACAGATTAATGGCACAGGCTGAACTTCTGTCCCTGCAAGAAGAAATTCAGGTAGAAAATGAGGAGCTGAAATCTGAAATGATAAAGTTAGTTGAAAAAAATGAAGTGCTAGAAGACAGCCTGCGAAAACTGAGAAGCCTTCATTGCAAGCTGGAAGGTGATGAGCTCAGAGAGGCAAACGCCCAGGTCCTTCACAAAGTTAAAGAATTGGAAGATGTCCAAGAACAAGATGCAGAAGGAGATGCAGAGGCACACGGTGAGGAGCTGAGACTGCAGTGCCAGCTAGAAGAACATGCCACCACGTTTACAGGGCAGCAAGACAAGCACACCCACAGTGCCAGCGCAGTGGAAGAAATGGGGGAGCTGCCAGAACCCCACAGGAAGCTGCAGGAGAAAGCTGCTGCTCTGGTTAACCCAAACATCACCCATGTCCACGGCGAGAGGGACGTGGTGGCCCACGGCTTACAAAGCACGTGCACCCAGCTGCAGCAAAAAGTTGATCTCCTGAGGTAACGTACGCTTGCAAAACCCAGTGGGAGACGTGCTGGCCCCACAGTAATCCAGCGTGCTACTTAGCCACTAACCTAGCCTCCTACCCACTGCCTCGTGCCCATCCCTGCATTAACCACTGTAGTTTAACTGGGGGTAGAGAGCAGTGCCTTGGACTCTAACTCCTAGCCAGCAGGCTGATTAATCGTGGATCACGACGGTTCAGAGAAATCCGTGTGACTTGCTCCTCTCTGACCATGACCTAACCCAGTGGGGAAACCAGGAGCAGCCCTGCCAGCTCTTCTCTCTGTGGATGTACTCGCCCTCCCAGGGTGTAGTTGATGGTACAGCAGAAACCCCTTGTATTTTTTATGTCCAAAACACTAGGGGAATGCTTCCAGAATGCTTTCAGCTTTCACTAATACTACTTCTTCGCTCGGTTCACTCACTTCTAGTATGGGATGTTACTTGGAATGCTAAAAGTGCTGCTTTTTTTCCTCAATATTTAAGTTAATGCTAGAGAATTATGGTAATTTTTTTTTCCCAGCAGGAGCCCTTAGCATTAGGAATCCATCATATGATAAACCCCATTATATGACAGAGAATATAACAGGTTTTACCTACTTGTTTTGAATGGCTCTATTTCAACAAGGGTTTCTTTTGGAGGCTATAAACTGGCTACAAATGGCTTAATTATTGTTCAGCACCAGCTTCCTGCAGGAAATTCTTCTTTCAGGTATTACACCAGGGTTGAGTTATTTCTTTGCAGTCACTTTGGGAGAGAGAAGGCACTTCCCAGTGCTTCCCAGTGTTCCCATTCCCAGCATACTGGGCTGTAGAAACAGCTGCTCTCCTAGCAGTCTGTATGTTGTGGTGTGAAAGCTGTTCACAGTTAATGTCATTCATAACTTAAGGACTCAAATGTCTAATACAATATTAGTGTGAAACTTTCACTAGGTATCTGAGATTTTAATTGGCTTGAGCTGTACAAAAAGTGCACAAAAAGCCCCTTGTTCAGCCATCTGGGCTGTGCTCTTAATGAAATGTGAAAGCTATAAAATCCATAAATCCATCCATAAAATAGGTGAATTGTAGCTTTGTTTTGAAATACTACAGGTAGTTCAGGCTTTAGTGATTTTTTTTTTCCTTCCCGTGGGCCTAGATGAGATCCAGAAACAGTTGTCACTTGTCTCGTGTCTCTGCCACAGGTGTGAAGCTGAGAAGCTGAGAGAAGAGAATGTTCTGCTGAAGAATGAGGTGACTTTGTTAAATGAGGAAGGGAGTGCTGCCAGCCTGAAGCTGAGGGAGCTGAGTGGATCCCCAGAAGAAATGAGGTGAGAACTCCATGGGGCATGTGCCACGTGTGTACCTCCAGGCTCTCCCTGTGGTGCAGACCTGGTGGTTACACCCATTCTCCCCAAGTTTCTCCACGTGTTAGTCTACAAAATTTGAAATGGAGTGATTTCCTGGGGCCGTTGGAAATGGAGCTGGTTGGCTGGGGTGCATTGAGATCATTGCCAGCAGGTCAAGGGAGGTTCTTCTGCTCCTCTACTCTGTCCCAGTCAGGCCACATCTGGATGACTGTGGCCAGTTCTGGGCTCCCCAGGTCAAGAGAGACAAGGGAACTGGAGAGAGTCCTGCAGAGGCTGTGAAGATGCTGAGGGGCTGGAGCATCTCTGTGCCAGGACAGGCTGAGAGCCCTGGGGCTGTTCAGCTGGAGAAGAGAAGCCTCAGAGGGGATCTGATCAATGCTCAGCAAGAGCTAAAGGGCCCATGGGAGGCAAGAGGCTGGGGCCAGACTCTGATTTTCAGTGGTGCCCAGCGACATGACAAGGGGCAACGGGCACAAACTGGAACCCAGGAGGTTCCATCTCAACAGGAGGAAAAAATTCTTCCCTGTGAGTGTGGCCAAGCCTGGAGCAGCTGCCCAGAGAGGTTGTGGAGTCTCCTGCTCTGGAGAGATCCCAAACCCACCTGGACACCATCCTGGGCACCCTGCTGTGGGTGAGCTGCTGGAGCAGTGGGGTTAGATGAGATGATCCCCGGAGCTCCCTTCCAACCCCTGTCATGCTTGGATTTCTTGTCCTTTTCATCTGCCCTGTTTTGTCCTGCCCATTTGTGGAGGCAATGCAGGGGCTTAACTGTAGGAGTTCAGGTGACCCAGTGACACATACAAACACAAGATCTGTTTACAAGGTGACCTGATGCAGTTCATCACTTTGCTTTGGCAAAGACAGAGCTTGTTGGGCTGGTGTAGCCTTAGAAAAGGCAGGAAGAGGTGAAGTGTGACAGAGCATTTCAGTGATTTGTTTTTTTACCAGCAGACAACCATCCATGATCTTGGGAGTATTCTTTCCTTCTAGAAAACAATTACTTGGGGTACCCTGGGGGCCTGAGCACTTGCCAAGCCCATGGAGAACAGTGATGCCATTCAATAAATATCCAGAATTGCCATTTCCAGCAATCAAGAAACAGCCCATTCTGGTAGGTGTGTACATTAACAAGCCACCCTCAGGTTAATGAGCTTTCATTTCTCTTTAGGCAAAAGATAGAAGCTGTGAGAAAGGAGAAGGCTGTACAGAAGATGGTTGACAACTTGAAAAAGCAGGTACATGGACTGAGCCCATAATCTCTGTAGAAATCATCATTGTTTAAAAGCCATCCCTTAGAGGGCCACAAAAGTGATAGAAAATGACAATTTTGTACATTTAAACTTCTTGATAACTCTTCTCATTAAGTCTTTGGAATTGATACGAGGCTTGTTTCACCTGATCAGAAGACAACCACAACACTACTGTAACTAGCTTACAGACTTGAGAGGGCTTCCCATAGTCAGCTGGGGAAGCTTATTTAATGGAAATATAAAGTGAAAATCATTCTTCTGTGTTTTTTGTGGGTAATGCTCTTCAGTAGCCCATGGGAAGCAGAGGTTATGTGACTCAGCCTCTGCTTATTTCCCAGCTAGATGAGTATAGGAATGCTGCCAGCCACGACCCTTTGCTCCATGAAACTCCTACTTTTATTTTAAGGGTGGTTTGTTTTGCGTGGCAAATTAGAAGGTTAAAGTAGCTCTTCATGTCTCTCTTACTATTGCTTACTAAAATTCTGCTTGCTCAGAATAGTCTACTAGCTCACCAGCATAATCCTCCAAATACACATCAGCAAAGGGGAGGAGTGGTGTGCCAGATGACCTATCATAATTGATATAATTGAAGCTAATTATGAGAAATTAAGTTTGTGGGGCTGACCATGCATGCTACAGGCCATTGGGAGGGTTCTGACTCTGAAATGGTTGATTTGGCCTAAAGTTAGGGCATAGAGCAAGTTAAATAAATCAAGCAGTGCTACTGGGGCTGTGACTGTTCTGTGCAGTACAGGTCACTCCTGTGCTCCACTGCTCAAAGTCACCATTTTGTGATTCTGTTGTCTTGGCTGAACCATTGAGTTGGAGTGACACTTGTCAGGTTCTTGGTAGTCTTTATAGAAAGGAAATTATTCAGCCTGGAAAAGAGAAGGCTCTGGGGAGACCTCCTTGCAGCCTTCCAGTACTTAAAGGAGCCTATCAGAAAGCTGAGGACAGACAGGGCCTGCTGGGACAGGACAAGGAGGGATGGCTGGAAACTAAAAGAGGAAGATTTAGACTAGACAGAAGGCAGAAATGTTTTGCACTGAGGGTGGTGAGCCCCTGGCCCAGGCTGCCCCGAGAGGTGGTCGCTGCCCCATCCCTGGAACCATCCCAGGTGAGGTTGGCCGGGGCTCTGAGCAACCTGCTCTAGCTGCAGATGTCCCTGCTCAGGGCAGGGGGTTGGACTAGATGGCCTTGAAAGGTCCCTTCCCACCCAACCCATTCTGTGATTCTATAATTGCATGAAATCTTTTAAAATCTATTCCCCACTGTGAAGTGGTCATAACTAGCACTGTTGTCCCTATTCAGGTAGCAGATCTGAAGACCAGGAACCAGCAGCTGGACTCTGAAAATACAGAACTTAACCAGAGGAACTCCAAAAATCAAGCAGATGTGCAGGATCTTAATCAACAGTTGGCAAGAGTGCTCAAGCAGAAGGAAAGGGAGGTGGGAAAGTGTACCCTGGAAGAATGGGAAAAAGAGAGACTGGCTCTAAAAGAGGAACTGGAGAACTCCAAAGTAAAGGTATAGAATTACCCTGTCTCTAACACTATAAATCAATGGAACTTCTAGGAGTGTGGAGGTGCTATGGAATTAGCATCCCTTATCCTGTTCTTGAGCTGTGTCTTTCAAAGCTGACCTTTCTGAAGTACTCACCATGAGCACAAGTCCATGTGGCAGTGGGGGGAGAAGGAGAGCAATGGGGTCAGCCAAAAGCAGGGAGGGAAAAATGTGCAGGTTTGTCTCAAAAATGAGGGTTAGCAATGCTAAATATTTACCAGCATTTTTCAGCATGTCTGTTCAGTCCTGCACCATCCCAGCTCTAACCCACATCACTGGCTGCAGCATCCCCTGGTTAGCCCCTGTTACTCTGTAGGTCTCCTAGGTTGAAATCTGAGCCTTTTACTTTCCACAGTCATCAAATCTGGTGTCTTCCTTGGAGATGGAGGTGTCAAAATTGAAGGTCCAAGCTCATATATTGGAGCAGGAGAACCACATGCTGAAGCAGGAAGTCGAGAACACAAAACAGGTACAGCATCCTATTTGAATCATAGAATCCTTTAGGTTGGAAGAGACCCTTAAGATCAAGTCCAACTGTTAACCCAGCACTGCCTGGTCACCACTAACTCATGTCCCTCAGCACCACGTCTACATGGCTTTTAAATCACACCAGGGATGGGGACTCCACCTCTTGAGTGCCATCAGATAATGCTGTCTGGCTCTCCCTTATCATGCCCAGCTCTCTTGCCTGAGTTGGAAATAGTTTCTTTAAAAAGGGTCCCAACATTAGAGGAATAGAAATCCTCTTGAAACCATCTCTGGGTACAACACAAAGTTGTTCAGATAAGGTTGGTTTCACTTGGCCTTTGCCAAGAGGACTTTCAGAGGAGTGGGTCTACAAAGACAGCCTTTGACAAGGAAGGTAATGATTTAAAGCTCTAATCAGGGAACAGACTGTCCTCTCAGAGAGAATTCCTATTGCTAAACCCAGCTGGAGATGTCAACATCTCTCAGCTTCTGGGGGTAATTTCCTGGAGGGCTTGGTTATCACCTGTGTGAGCAGGGTTCAATTGGCTGGGTAAATATATGCTAATAAATGTAGATAATGAAGGCTACAAACGAGTTAGTTTCTCATCCTGATATGGAAAAATCATTTTCTCTACAGTGTAAAGCACTCCTTTGTACCCAGTGATTTGGATTGATAATGGTCTTAAAAAGCAAAAGCAGCTGAGGCCCTTTCAGGAAGGAGTGGATGGTGGCTTGTGTGTAGTTTAAAGACAGAAGATTGAGTGAGCAAAGACAGACCAGCACAGCAGAAGACAGCTCAGGAAGCTAAAGCACTCTGTCAAATGGCAAAAGGATCAGAAGTCAGCAGTACCATGGGGTCTTTTCCCCCCAGTTTTGTGTAACTCTTGTGCTTGTGCTTCACAGCTGCCCAGATGTCCTGACCTCTCTGACCTTCAAAATGAAGTTTCGAGCTTAGTGACTAAAAATGAGACGCTGCAGAAAGAGAAAGAAGCCCTGAGTGAGGAATTAAACAGGTGTATTGATAAGGTGAGAACTGTAAATCCACATCCTTCCTTACACGCTGCTCTAACAGGCTGTTAAAATTCTCATATCAGTATCCTTAGCATCCCTAACCTGGAAATTGGATTTGGATTGCTTTATCTTCAAGACAGATAAAGGCTTAATGGCCACTGCCCCTTTTTTCCTAGCTGGTCTTATAGAGAAAGCTGAAATTCTGGAGCACAGCTTTACTGTAATTTGTGTAGAAAATTCCAAACATTGCAAGCAACAGAGGCCTGGATACAAATATTGCAGAGGGACAAGGAAGACAGTGTTCTTGTGATTTTATTGCAGCTCTAACGTGCTGCAACTCTGAACTCAAGCAGCGTAACTTGTAAATAATGAGACCCTTGTGTGGAGACTAGGGCTGGGAGCTGAGGGGTGTTTTGCTGTCCTGCCTTTCCTTGGCAGAGCTGTAACTCCCTCTAGCTTAACTCTCAGAGTCAATTTGAGTTAAAGGAAATCCTGCCTGAGTCAGGCTTACCGGTGTAATCTCATTGCAGGTAGCTAAAGTAAGCTGCTTAGAGAATGCAGTTGGCAGCTTGAAGCAGGAGCAGAAGTGCTGGGAACAGCAGAGTCAGGCACTGAAGGCACAGCTCACTGTTTCACAGGAGAAGGTACAACGGGGGGTTTGCCCCAGCCCTGGCTCAGGAGCATTTTTATCCTCTCTTGTAATGCTTTTTTTTTTTTTTTCATCAAAACCAGCAGCCTTCTAGTGTGTGTAGAGATGTCACACAGCTAAGAATGGCCACTTTGATGGGCTTTCAAAGTGACGTCCTCAAAGGACCAGAGGAAATGTGTTAAATGCACTGAGGGATGTGTTTTTCTCCCCCTGAGAATAAGCAATGTTTTGTAGCTACAGCCAAGTTCCTCTTGCCAGTTCTTTCTGCCCAGTCATTCCTGACACACTGCAGAGGTTCTGCTGTTGCTTCTGGCTCTTCTGGCAGTGGCTTGTCCCTCACCGTGCAGGGGAGGGGAATGAAGGGTTACCTGCTTGGCTTGGAGATTCTTGTTGGCTGTGGGATGCCAGGAAGAATAAATAATTAAAGAGAAATCTCTTCCCAGCATATCACAGTGAATATTTGGGCTGGAAGATGTCTCTGTTGAAAGCAGCATTGTGGCTGTGGCTACTAATTTGGAACAGAAAGTCAGAAAATCCTTTAACTTTTTTAAAGGGGACTGTCAGCTTTATAACTTCTTCACTCCTTCCACCAGAGACCCTAAATACGTTTGATAAGTGGTGCACAGGAGGCCAAGCTTACAGGAAATCTTGGTCCCTGCTGAGCTGTCTTCCTGCTCGTTCCAGGTTCAGAGTCTGGATGAAACACTGCAAAACACCAACCTCCAAATGGCCCGACTCAAATCAGACTTGTGGGTGACACAGCAGGAGAAGGAAACTCTCAAACAAGAAGTGATGTCTTTGCACAAGCAACTGCAGAATGCCAATGAAAAGGTAACAGGCCCTCAATCAACTCTGCATGCCAGGATTTATGGACACTAGACTCATAGTTGGACTAGATGACCTTTAAAGGTCCCTTCCAACCCAAATCACTCTAACTGCTGCTCTTCTCTAGCCTGTCACTGTAGCCAGCTTATTTCTTTAGGTTGGTTTGTCCATTCAAAGGACACAGAGTGCTGCAGGCTTGAGGTGAGAAGAGGCTGAGGCTCTCAGCTATGCAACTATTGATTTTTAAATCTTTTCTAAAATAAGTGACATAAACTTAATTTAAAAAAAAAAGCTGAAAAGAGCTATTTTGTACCCACCTCTATTTTAGTGATGGTTTCTATATTTAGTAGTTTTCCATTTGCAGGTAGTCAACTATAATTAGACTTGTCTCATTGTACATAATGTGCAGATTTGAAACTTAAAAGAAGTTGTTTAAGAATAATTTTTGAGCATAAGGGTGGGTAATGATCAGCCCATCTCCTGAGTGTCCATTCTTCCCTGAAAGAAATCTTTTCTGGAAAAAAAATATATATACATTGTCCACAGATTTTATATGATTTTACACCTATCAAAACTATAAATCTATTAATAATCAAACTAGTAATTGAGCAGGGGATCTAATTTTCAGTCCAACTTGGTTTGAAAGGCACAGTGTGACATCAGCCTCTAGTAACTGATGAGGAACTGGAAGTGAAGGAGGTTGTAGACTGCAGTCTTGGGATTGGTGTTATGAATTCAGTTGCTAATTTGGCTTGTTTGCCATGTAATTAAGGAATATTTAACGTCCACATGGAAAAGAGGCTGTTTCAGAATTCTACAACAGGAACTAAATTACAGCTATTACTGAATAATAGATAATACCAAGTTCTGTTGTTTGCTTGATGAGGCTGTGAAATGAAGCACAAATGGGTTTTTTTTGTGGTGTTGAACTCTGCATGCTCCTATCAGCCCTTTTGGCACACAGCTATTAGCTCTGATTTTAGTGAAGGGAAGTACTTTGGGTTTGCACTGGGATTAGCATGTTTGGTTTCTTAGTGGAAAACGGTGTGTGGGCTGGGAGGAAGATGAGAATCCTCTGACTGTAGAGTCTGCAGTTACTGAAAGCCTACTTAAAACCCACCTGAATAGAGAAAACATCTGCTTCTCTGTTGAAGGCCTAACCCTGCAATTCTGTCTGTCTTAAGAATCGGGTTCTAGAACGGGCTGTGCCTTCCTCAGGGCTGCAGGACCAACAAAGGCAGCTCCACTGGGATGAACTGGCCCATCTGATGAAACAGGAGCAGCACCTGCTCAGGCAGGAGAATGAAAGGCTCCAGAGAGAAGCCCAGAGCACCAAAACAGACCTGGCTCACTCCAGGGAGAAGGTAACTGGAGCAAGCCAACCATCACAGAGGTTGTCCCTGTGGGCCAAGCAAAACAGTTCTGGTTTTGCAGTGGGTAAATGCAGGGATTACCTTCCTGGTAATTCCAGGAGAGGAAGGTTCCTCCTTAGTTTTGAATAGAAACATTTGCAGGAAGACTGCAACATGGAAGAGTATTCCCTTATTTTTTCCCCCTTGTGTATGTAGATACTCTTAGGAGGTTTCAAACAGCAAGTTTTCAAAAGAAAATCCTGGTAACTCTTGTCTAGGATTCTGGTTTGACTTCCAGTTAATGCCCTTCATCTTTTTTCTTTCATAAGAACTTCTTACTATTCTGAGCATTTCTTCATGTCCAATATCTTGGCTCACAGTATTAAGCAGATTATAGGGAAGAGAAAAAAGAATAAGATACTCAAAGCTAAAATACCAGAAATACACCAGAATGGGTTGAGAGTCCCACACCAGAATGGGTTGAGCCCAGAACTGTTTGGCACTTGGTATTTTAGATTAAGCAGATGGGATTTGATTTTTTTTTTTAATGGTCTGGAATGTTTTTCCACATTTCTTCCTCTGGTCTCTTTAGATCCGACAGCTGGAATCTACTGTTCTTTCATTGAAGCACCAAAAGCATCAAAGCCAGTCAGGTATCGTCAAAGCCATGGAGCAAGAGAAATTAAGCTTGAAGAGAGAGTGTGAACAGCTTCAGAAGGAGTTGTCCTCTGCAAACAGGAAGGTTAGTTTTAGATGGTGAACACATGACGCAATGCTGTCTGAGAGCTAATGTTGTAGTAAGAGGTTTCTTCTTTTACTCTGAGCTTTGTGTCACTTAGGAATTGTCCCCATTCTTTGAAACTTGTCTGAGATGCTGTACAACGCTCTTAGACGTCCTTTTCAGCAAAGGATCACACTCCTCCAAATACTGATGGCTTTTATAATGAATTTTCTTGATGTGCAGTGATTCATGACTTGCACATCAGGGGAAAAAAAAGGCAAACAGATAAAACAATACTACCTTTCTAAGGAAGCTTCTTGTCTTTTTAATAGATCAGTCAGATGAATTCTCTTGAACGTGAACTGGAAAGCAGCTCAGAAAACGAAGGGCTTAGAAAAAAGCAAGTCAAACTGGATGATCAGTTGATGGAGGTACTTTGCAATCAGTGTTGACTGTACTGAATGGTGTGGGGCTTTGTTGCTGTCTCACTGGACCTATGAATTTACTTAAAAATAATTTCTAGTTGTGTAGAAACAGAGGAAAGTAATCAAAATTAGACTAATTAATCTCCCCTAATGCCTAATCACATCTTTCACTATTGAGACGTAGTGTGACAGACAAGCTTGTCTGAAGCATGTTGTGGTTTATTGTAAGGCTTCAGATATAAAATCAAACAGTGAAGAAGTTTGTTTCTGTGCTTGAGGCAAGGTTAAAGCTTTCCTCTTCCTTCCTAAAACATATAACCTCAAGTCTTCTAACTAATATTTGCATAATGCTTCTCTTAATGTAGAAACCTGTTCTTATTTACTCTGGGAATCATTTGCTGAATTTAAGCCCTGTTATCTAGATCATAGAAACATAGAATCATTCTGGTTGGAAAAGACCTTTAAGATGATTGAGTCCAACCCGTCCCCCAGCAGTGCCAGGTCCCCACTGCCCCGTGTCCCTCACACATCTCCAGAGCTTGGAAACCCCTCCAGGGGTGGGGACTCTGGCACAGCCCTTGGCAACCCTCAAGGGCAAGAAATTGTTCCTCAGGGACAACCTCAACCTCCCCTGGGGCAGCTAGAGGCCATTTCCTGTTGCCCTGTTGACAAGGTCTTGATAGATTAATGATTTACACAACTTGGTGTTAATCTAAAGGCATGAGTGAGAAGTTCATTGGGATTCTTCCAAAGCCTGCTGCCCATTTGTCTGTTCAGTTCTGTTGGAGATAGATCATGCTGGATGTTACAAAAACTGCATAATTTTTGGGTGTGCTTGGTTACAGGAAGGAGCAAGCATAACTATTTTAAGTTAGTGTATCCCTTGAGGTCAGGCTAGACCTCTGAGCTGTGTCTCAGCAGCCTTGCCTAAACTTGTCCTGAATTTGAGTTTAAAACATTATATATATACATATAAAAAAAACTATCAGTTTTGACTTGTTCCATAAATGAAAGCATCTTCTAGATGAGGGGTTTACAACACTTTTATTAAAGATTACATCTTTTTCATCAGAAGGGGAAATGGGAAACATGATGCTGAGCATACTATGGAATTAGCTAAAAAATTGTAAAAACTTGATTAGAAAAGACGAGATTTTGACAAGTTCCTCAAAAGATTATTTGCCCTGCACTTTTATTCAGTTTTAATTAAGCTTTGGGAAAATTCCAAGCACTGTGCAACCCTTTAGTATGAACACCAAGCATGGAATTGCACTTTCTCCTGAAATTCAGTTTTCAGACATGCAGGACTTCTGTTACTCCTGATAACTTTTTCCCACCAGGTGTTTTTAACATTAATTCAGCACTTTATGACTTCTAACTTTCTCTTTTGTGCCTGTTCTCCTTTTGTTCATGGCTAACCTGTCTAGAACTCAGTGGTTGGAGCTAGCAGAGAAGGGTGCAGTTCTCTTTCTGAAATAGTGTGCGAAGGTAGAGCAATCATTTTCGCTGTACTACCATAGCATGGAGAAAACATTTGCTTTCTTTTTATGGATTTATTTACTTTTAATTATTCCATGCATCTTTTGAGTAAAGAAGCCACTCTTCATTTTAATGTGAAACACTAACAGCTGCACTAATTTCTCTGTGGTTATTGTGCAGGTAGATTCTGTCTGCCAAGAACTTGCACTAAAATTTCTAAAGCCATGAAAACAGAAGGAACCAAAGAATTAAAATCTCATTCCAAAGAATTAAATTGATCCTAAGAAAATGAAAAGTGGCTCAACCCCTTCCTTCTAACCCATTGACTGTGAGGCTTGAAGGTGTTTGCATATTTACCTCTGATATCTGCATGCTTTTGTCACCAGACTGTCAAATGTTTCTTCAGTATTAACTGGTCTGTGGTTGGTGTCATCCCAAATAGTTCAGCAAGTTTGTTATTGTGCTGCTTTCTTCCACAGACTAATACAGCCAGACTATATTGTTCTCATTACTCACACAACTGGTATTTATTTTTAACATTGACTGTTTCTTCAGCTCTTTCATTAGAAACCTGCGTGCTTCACAATGTTACAGGAAAGTCTAAAATTCTGTCAAAAGCTCATTAGTTTCACCGTTTATATTGCCAGTAAAACAACAGCTCCTTTACAGACAAGCTGGTTCAACAGAACCTTCTGAGAGCTTGAAAAAACACAGATAGTTTTATTCTAAAGTACTTAGAAATCTATTTTCTCTTTACCTGGTCTAGTAGAGATGTACAGATGCTAACAGGGCCAGAAATGCTTTCATTTCTAAACCCTGATTTCATTTCTTAACCCTGTTTTCACCATTATGAAAAATGCTTATAGATGTTAGTTATAGATGAATTCAATAACTGAAATAGGATTACGAATGGAGGCCCCAATTCTGCCACTTGGAAAAGGAAATTTAAAACCATTTACATAATCTTATATGCCTTTTCCTAAGGGAACAGAATAATGAGCATGAGACAATAGGTGAGAATTTTATGATGTGGTCAACAGATCTTTATGGGAAGAAAGTATTAAACTTAGGTAAATTCAAGCTACAAATCAGTTTGTCTGAAACATCAGAGGGGCTTTACTGTAGAGTTCTGCTATTTTTGTTTAGTATTATAAACTATTAGAGCTGTGAGCTGGTATTACCTGGATTTGCTGACTTGTTACACATGACTATCTTAACTTGTAATATTGCCTGAAAGTTCATCTCATGCTGGGCCAGTTTAACTTGGGCTCTTCTGGTTTTAGTGCTACTGCAGTGATGCAATGGCAGAAATGCCTCTTCTCTGGCACCCCCCTTGGGAGCAGCACTTCATTAAATGACGTGGGGAAGCCAAACTGTTTGGGACAAGTTTGTCCTGAGATGTTCTTCTGCCCTTAAAATAGTGATGAGCCCCAGGGCTCTCAGCCTTTCCTTGCCAGAGAGATGTTCCAGTCCCCTCAACAACTTCACAGCCTCTGCTGAACTCTCTCCAGCAGTTCCTTGTCTCTCTTGACCTGGGGAGCCCAGAACTGGCCACAATCCTCCAGAGCTGGCCTCACCAGGGCAGAGTGGAGGGAGAACCTCCCTTGACCTGCTGGCCACACTCTTCTTCATGCACCCCAGGAGACTATTGGCCAATGTGGCCATGAGGACCCATTGCTGGCTTGTGGGCAACCTGTCCCCCAGCACTCCCAGGTCCTTCTCCACAGAGCTGCTCCCAGCAGGTCACCTGTACTGCTGCAGGGGGTTATCCCTCCCCAGGTGCAGGACCCAACACTTGCCCTTGTTTTACAGACTAGTTTTACCAAGAAGACTTCTCTGGTAGCATCATGTCACAAAGGACAACCATTATGCATGGACTCTTTGTTGTTGTATACCGCCTTCATATTACATAGACTTGTTGATGCATTTGATAACTTTTTTTTTTAATGAAAGTAAGACTTAAATTTGGAATTAAACTACTTCAGATTACTACATGTATCTGTGTCTCAGGGGCCCCACTGAGTAAGCTTTTGCTTACACAGCACAGACACTCAGGAGGTCTCCAGACTGTCTGTCAAACTCTGCTCATGGCATGTCTTGAGATTTTAAAGTTTCTTAAATTTCTACAGCTATTACCAAGGATTCTAAATCCTGACTTCTGAATCTAATATAGTAGCAGGCATCAAATTACTCATCATATATTACCTGAAAATGTGTTTTGCTTTTGAGAATGTTACCTCTCTATCTTAGATTTAAGACTGAAAATAATCAGCACTGGTTGAGAGCTTCTGCCTGCCTCATGCTGGTGTCTTTTTTTATAAGTGGATACTATTTTCATATGAGCTACTGAGACCAGGGTTCAGTTTAAAAAGGACTGTTAGGTTAAAGCTCATCACAGACAGGATTTCATCAGAAATTGAGTGAATTTTTATAATTCAGGTCTGAAATCCTGAATCAAAGCTCAGATTCCTTTAGGCTCCAGAACTGCACGTAAAGATGCACCTTCACTGGCAAGAGAAGCGTTGTCTCCTTAGCTTCTCTTCCTGAGCTAAGGCTTGTTTCTCTTGTGTACAAGAAACAGTTCATGAGCAACCCAACATGTAGGGCATCATCGAAAGGTGTCTTGTATGGAAGGTGGAGCTGATTTCTCCTGACTTCTCCTGGGTTTCCCCTTCAGATGCTCCACTCGAGCGGCGGCGTGACGCGTAGCCAGGCTCCGCACCCCCGGGAGCTCCAGCAGCAAGGCTGTGCCACCGTGCCCAAGGAACAGCTCCTGCAGCTCCAGCACCAGCTGCTGCAGGCAGAGAGGAGGAGTCAACGTCTTCAGGAGGAACTGGAAAGCAGACCCTCTGAAACAAACATGCAGCAGGTAAAGCTCTCGTTACTCTGCAGGTTATCTCCTTAGAAGGCTATCTGGTTAGTTTTCTTGTTTGGGTTTATTCTTCTCCAATTCTGATGAGATCCATTCTCTGTTTATGCCAGTTCAAACCTTTAAAATTAAATTTCATTCTATCAAAGCTATGTGCAAACCAAACCTTTCTTATTTACCATATTTAGCTTAAGCCATAGCTTAATTCTGAAGTCTTCTTCATCTTTTTTTTTTAAATGAACACTCCCATCCACAGTCAACTGGCTTTTCTCCTGATCACTGTGCAGTAAGTGCTTAGAGGTGTTTTGTTTTTTTTTTTTTAGTTTTTTGTTTTGTGTACCTAATATCCATGTGTGGAATCATCATTTTAAAAAATATATTCCACCACATATTGCGCAAGCACATACCCATCACATAAAATCCCAATCTGGGCTGTTGCTGTCACATGGAGACGTGGCAGCTGTAGTAGAGCAAAATACCAAGGAGTTCATCCCTTTTATAAGATCAGCCTGTCTTTGGCTATGAGACAAGACATTGTTTGGAGAACACTGTTACCATTACAAACTTGACTTTTTTTGGCATTTCTAAGGAAAAAACAACCTAATTCTGAGGAAGATGGCATCCACTGCACCCACTGGGCAGAGCCACTTTTAGTGTTTTGGGTTTTTTTTGTAGCATGAAAAGCTGAATTATAGGCAATAGGTAGAAAACTTTGCATCTCCTGTATAAAAATTAAGCTTGGGGACTAGATGCCAAATTGCTCTGTTCAGGAAATAGCTGAATCTCTAAATCTCAAATTTTGGTTCATGCTATGCCTTAATATCATAACTTTATCTTATGAGAAAAGATAAAGCTCTAAATAATTCAGATAAAATACTAACAACTTTATTAATCTGTTAGAAGGAGGGGGAAAAAAAGAACCACATTACATTTTAAACTCCGATTACAGTTACACTTTTTAAAAATAATAAGACCAAGACTTTGAAGCTTAAAAATCTCTGAATGTGTTCACAAGATATTGGGGGGGGGGAAAAAAGGTATTATGGAGAGTGTATGTTGTTAATTTTCTCAGGGTTTCAAAACTTGGAGTAAGAAAACTTAGAGTTAAGAATTCTTTAAGTAAGGCACAGAAAGTTCCCCCCTGAAAACATGAATTTAACAGCAAATAATTTAGGATAAATAAAAAGAAATCAATTACAAGGCTCTCTCCCTTTCAGCTGAGTCCTGATAGAGGTGCATTTCCACAGGTTAATGGACTGGGTCAGGGACAATGGAAGGGAGAGCATGCAGCTGAATTTTGAAATCAATAAAAGCCATATTAAAGCAGTAGCACCTGCATGTTGCATTAGGGGTGATGACTTTGTCATTTTGCCTTTGGAAGCCTGAGAAACAATTGGCAAATGGGTCACATCCTGGGACTTGTAGTTCTACAGATAAATCACTTCTATGTTTCCTGTAATAGCTTTTATTCTGAAAAGCTTCATGAATTGAAAAATACTTTCAGAGAGGCTTTGCAAATATTTGCTGTCAATGCACTAATGCACTTAATCCTTTTAATTTTTTCTTTTTCTTAAATTGAATGGATATTTTGGGTTATAACATTCCCTACAGCTTTTTTCTTGGGCTTGACTGGAGAACTTTCTAAAATAATTATTAAATGCATGCATTACTCAGCTACAAGCAAGGCCAAATTTGTTTTAGCTTGTCTCAACTTTGATGTTGCTGTAAGCACATCTGGCTTTCATTCTCACTGTTGATTTCTCTTCATCACCCTGATTTCTAGGGTTAACATTTAGTTGAGCTTATGTCCATTTTAATGTCCCCTTTAGCATCTTGAAAAATTGCTTCCTAATCCCTCTTCATCATCTTTCCACCAGTGAGTACAATGTCAGGTTATCTCCATGCTTTCTGTGTAAATTAAATTTCATCACCTAGTTTTGCTGCTGCTGCTTTGCACTTTGCAGCTTTCTTAGACCCCAAGTCCTTCTGTGTAATAAGGTGTCCAAAATTATCCCCCCCTCCTTTTTTGGAATCATTTTGTGTTCATCATGCTTTGCAGTTTTCATTTGCTTTTTGATCATGGTGATGGTGCTCTGTGTTCCTGTTCATTTTACAGTCACTCTTGAGCTATTGTCTTCCAGAGGCTACTGCCACACATTCAGATTTCACTAAATTAAAACTCCTGCACCTTTTTTACTGTGTTAACCTGTCTGGACTCTTCTGAATTCCAGATGACTGTTTCTGATGTGTCTAATGCTTTGATTCTTACTTGCTGCACAGTAACAGCTGCTGCACTTTGTTATATTCCCTGCCCAAGAACTAGACTTGGGGGGCTGTTAATGACCCAATTCCCTAAGTTCTCTTAGAACCTCTGTTAACCAATATTTTTGCTCAGAGTACTTAGAGTAGCTCAACTTCCCCTTGCTTCAGCTCTTTATTTCAAAAGCCAAATCACCTCTGACCAACAGCTTGTTCACCTGTCTCAGGAAGGTTTAAAACAGAAATGCAAGTTTCCAAAGGAGGTCAGCTGGACTACACGTTTCACAAATGCTGTTTGGCAATCTGTGAGATGATGTGTAGTGGCAGATAATTTCCTCTCAAACTCAATTGCTTTGCTAACAGCACTTAATAGCTGCCACTGACCTTTTTAAATCCCTCCCAAACATGGATAAGCCATCTGAAGAGTCCTCAATCTAGAAAATGCCTCCTGAACATCCCCACAACCGTGTACATGTCGTGCTAATACTAATATTGAGAGAAATCTAAGCTGTGATGCTCTGCATGTCTCCCGTGTGTGTGGCTTCGTCTCGTGCTGCTTGCTTGGCTTGTGTTGGTGGTTGGCTTGGAGTTATACGTACGTATTTCAAAGAAAATCTGGATATCAGGGTGAAGTATCCCACTTGCCTTCTTTCTCTAGGCCTTGCTACCGGAGCAGCGAGCAGTGCATGCAGATTCCTACCGGAGGATCGGGCACCTCTGACAGCTTGGCTGCTTAGGATCTCATTCCATCCCCTGACACACACACACACGAACTGGCATAAGCTGAGAAACATGAGGATCAGATTTTGTGCTTTTTCTTAAAAAAAGACAGAAAAGAAAAAAAAATTCCCAGTGTTATTGCCTATTTATTTGTCTAGAAGCTATTTTGTGGAAGTTCCTAAGCTGTCTCTTTTTTAAAATTGTTACAAATGCTTTTTATTTATGTTATTTAAATGTGGAGCTGTTCAGCATGGAAAGAGACTATTTTTCTTCAAATGGTACTAATTTTATATGAAGAAACTCTGGGGTATTTATACTGCATTTTTTGTATAAGATGTATAAACTTTTTAACAGGGAAAGATGACTTTTTTGATGTAAATGAAATAAAAATTTTTTAAACATAATGTCTCTTGTCTTAATAGCATCAGTAGCTTCAGCTTGATGAATAAGAATTAATTCAAAAAAGAACTGATTCAAAAAAAACCCAAAACTACTTTTTTGACAAAATATTGTTGATACACAGGATTGTCACATCAGGACTTCTGGGAAAGATCTGTAATAAGGGATGTACTTAATGCTCAGCTTCTCTTTAGCAGCTGTACCTGCACATTTTGGAAAGGAATTTGAATAATACATGGGCATATTCTGCTGTTGTGGCCAAAAAGTAAAAAAGCAGTGTCAGAAAACAGAAAATGAACACCGCACTTGTTTCTTGGATAATATTCCTTTGTGTTTTTTCTTTTGTCTCAAATTACTAACATTAAATTAGATTTTTTTTTTTGTAATTCTTTAGGTCAGCAGAACACTCCTTTAAGACCTATGATTTTTCTAGTTTGGAGCCATGAACTATTTCAGCTGTTTACTTTCAAAGATCTTTTTGTTTCTGTTCTTCTAATGACCTTTAAAGCTAACCTTTGAGCTGGCTTCTCCTATTAACCAGGAAATAATATGAACTTAAACAGAACATTCTCAATCAGCTTTAAGCCAAAAACCAGGGATCATAGGTATTGAGACCACTATAATTCTTATTTTCCATGTAACTACTGCCTTGAGGCTCCTGCAACCACTATGAAGTGTAAGAATCAGTACTACTCTTTGAATTCCAATTAAATTACAAAAGGTAACTTGGCTAGGAAGTCACCTGCAAGTTTTTACTTTAGCAGTGATTTTTTTAATCCAGAAAAAACACACAGTCCAACACCACAGTAGAACTGCTTTCTATATAACTCTAAAGCAACTATTTTTCAGTGTTTTTCACAAGCAAAGTGATCGTACAACCCCATACACAGAGTTATGGTGCTTCTGGCAATACAACAAGTAAAATGTTGAGTGGACTGCAGTTAATCCCCTAAAGGGATCTTTATAGAGGAGAATCTACCTACCTGAAACACTCCCTCAGTTTTTCATTTATCATCCCCTACGTGTGTGAAGGTACCTTGGCTTTGAAGGTGTTTTGTTTTGGGGCAAAGGTTAGTGCTTTTTCAAAGTTAATCTTCTCACTTGAAGCAAAGATTAAATAAAGAATCTCTTTCACTGCAGTCAGTGTCCCAAATACAAAGAAGCTTTCTTGTGGTTCCTAGTGTTTCTAATATATTTGGGGAAACCTTACTCAGCTGTTGCAGTAACTCATGAGAGTGCCTGTTACACCACTTTCAGTTAGACTGTTGCCTCACTGAGGAAAAAGAGCAAAAGCCTTTTGGAGTTACTTTTTAGAGACATTATCAACAACTAAACTTAAAAAAAAAAAAGGTTAGAAGTCAAGTTTGAGCAATATCCTAAAAAAAGAAGGGTATATTATCCCAATTTTTGGCATGGGAGGGTTATAGTGTCAAACATGCATTTATGATGTCACCTTGATTTTTTTTTTCTAAACTCTTTAAGATTGATTGGTATTTGGTTTCCAACATTCAACAGAAATATGGAAGCACCTAAGAAAAGGCAACCATCCAGATCTGACTGTCACAGTCAAGACTGAATTTTATCTATTTTTTTTCTTAGATCTGGTACCCTCAGGTGTAACAGACTTGGGAATTAATCAATGCTGTGAGAGTCCAATAAGTGTTGCCATAACATTTTGCTTCCATGAATGGTTTATTCATTTAGTTGGCTTTTTAAAATAGACTCAGATGTGGAGTGCCAGCTATTTTCTGAACCATAAACTAGGGAAAAAATAAAAATAGAGACTGGCGAACATGAACTGATTTTTGGTGGACTGATTCTCACATAAATGTTGCTTTCCAGGGGGGTCATGAGCATCTTCTAAAAATGATGGAAGAACGTATGATGGATGTTGAACAGAAACTAAGGCTTGTGAAGAGGCTTCTCCAAGACAAAGTAAATCAGCTGAAAGAACAAGTAAGTCATAAAGTTAAAGGTGCTTTCCTTTTTCTTTGAATGCTTCTGAGCTGAAGTGTAATGTATTTGCTCAAAACTTCCCAAAACTCCAAACTGAATCCCCCTCCTGAATGGGTGGATTCACCTTCCTGAATCCTCCTTATAAAACTCCAGACTGAATCCACCACCTGGTTTCCTAAAAGCTGATGCACTTAAAATCAGGGAAGAAACATCAAATTCCAGCCAAGTATCCTAACTGGAAAAGTTGCTTAAAAAAGGAGTAGAAAAAATTCCTGAAGAAAACAGACAGGATTATTGTACAGTTATGGATTTTTCCATGCCCCCTGCCACAACACGCCCTTTGCTTAACATGTTTTTGGGGTTTTTGTTCTTGCCTTAGTCTGTCTTCTTCAGAAGTCCTCAGTAGTGTAGGAAAAGGTGGCTCTGGAACACTTAGGCATGATAGTGATATCTGTTTTCTACTAAGGTGGAGTCTTTGCTTTCACGTGGAGTAAGTGCTCTACTGACAGGGTCTCCTGCCAAAGGGCTGCTCTCAAAAGCATGTAGCCAAGTGCCAGGCTGCTCTCCCCAGTTTTCTGGGAGATGCTGATGGTCCAAACCTTGGGGAGGTATCTCAGTAGGATCAGTGGGCTTGTGGAGCCTCTTGTGAACAACACTTATCTGTAGAGGACAAATTATAAAGCAAGATTCACATGAAGCCCTTTATTACCTGCCTGATCTGCTTACAAAGGCTTTCCAAACAGACATAGCATCTATTAAGACTCCACAAACATACAGATTTTTAGCAAAGAAAAATAAAAGGAACGAGTGGGTTGTCTTCCTTTGATATTTGAGTTACAATAAACACACCCACCTACTTTACCAGTACTGTTCTTGCTTTTTTATCTTTTATTTTGCTGAATAATTATGTTCTATTCACAACTCAGCTTTCCAAGAACACTAAAGCAGATGCCATGGTCAAGGATCTGTACGTTGAGAATGCACAACTGCTGAAGGCTTTGGAAATGACAGAACAGAGGCAGAAAACTGCTGAAAGGAAAAACTATTTATTAGAAGAAAAAATTGCCAACCTGAATAGAATAGTGAAGAATTTGGCATCACCATCCTTTAATTCAGCACCTGAGATAAGGTCATAGCAAAGCCCTCAAATCTGCCACAGTCCTGTGCACTTTACTGAAATGTTATTATTTCAGCTTTTCACTGTGTTGCCTTTTTAATACTGATGAATTTTAGTTAACAGATGTCTCCAAGGAGAGGACAGAGCTAAATCCCAAACTGGACACTGCCAAAAGAGAATTTTTCTTTATTCTCAAACAGGTTTTCTGCTAAATTTTGCCTACAGGTAATTTCCACTATGTTAAAAAAAAAAAGGACATAAGTTTTTCTAGGTTAAATTATTTGGATACTTTGGTTTTAATTTAAAATGTAAATTCTGAATATACTGTACCAAGGTGATTATTTGAACCCAAGGTCTAATGCAAGCTTATGTGGCTGGATTCAAAATTTTTAAATACTTTTGGCTTTCTGGAATACTTCATGTTCCAAACCTAGTAATATTGACAGCTCAGTCTTCAACACCATCAGTGTAACTGCTGTTGAAAGCCAGACTTTACTGTCACAGATCCTGGTTTCTGTAAAGCAATATGCTCCACCTTGCACATTAAGCAGAATTTTGGGTTATTCTTCCTGGTTGTTTCTCTGTAAAGCTGAGAAAAAAAAAAAATGTTAAAAATATGTAAATAGACTACTGCCTCCAACTAAGCATAGCAGTAATTCATGTGAAGAACCTTCCCAGCTGGCAAGTAAAGACTACTAGTTGTGGCTTGGGTTTGTTTTTAAGCTGAGCTGCCAGACAGCTTAAAAATTGTAGAGGCCTTAATTTTTTTTGTATGTGTGGAAATAAGTTATACTGAACAGAGAGGAAGAGCCTACTAAAGAGAAGTGAAGATGTGAGTTTTGTTTATATCACTTGTAAATTTGGGAAAGCAGTGGAGTATGTTTATTAAACAAATAGCAGAAGAATGAAGAGGGGGGATTTGGATGATTTGGTCAGTGAAATCCTGCCAGTAGGTCTCACAGCCACAGACCTTTGCCACAACTGTGGGGTTGATTTGGATCTGAGTGAGAATTTGGGAAGGGCCTGTCTTTTGTAGTAGATCCTAGTAGAGAATCTTAAGTTTGTGAAGAATCATATTCAATGTGAACATGAAGAACTCAGGGAATAACAGCCTAAATTAGCTTCCTTCCCCATTATAAATGTGGATGTTCATGTCAATAGATGAAGATCAATAGGCATTAGGAGCAGTAGGATCAAGCAAAGTGTAGTTGGGTCAGTATTACCTTAGGACTCCCAGCCCAGCGTGCAGAAGTGTTGTGAAGGTGGAAGAGCACCAAGTGACAGGTTTGCTTAGTCCTTGAGGCTGGGAAATCCACGTTTCCTGGGAGCACCTTCAAGTCTGACACAGAAGCAGCTGAACAAGAGCTCGTGGGCTCAAATGCTTGTGTAAAACCCATCCCTGCAAACAGTCTGAATGTCCTACAACTGCCTCACCTCCATTAGACCAGTAAGACTCGTTTAAACAGTGTAAATAAAACTGGCAAAAGGGGCTGTACTGGCAATACTTGAAACTGGACCTCTTTAAATAGGCGTGAATTGGGAGTGCAGGGGAAGAGGGTGAGGTGTTTTGTCTCAGACAGCTGGGAAGATGGCAATTCTGACAGCATTTGTAATGAGCCAAAAGTCCCTCAAATTGGGACAATCCTGCCTACAAGCTGTGGAAATGACTTCCACTTGGTACTGTCTGGCTGCCGGGAATGCTATTTAGGTCTAGGTTGTTACCCACCAATTTTAGAGGCTTGAGGGACTGCACTGGACATAGTATGATCTCTGCTCCTCCTCCTCTGCTGCTTTATGCAGGCCATAGAGTGGAAATGCAAATAAAATCATGTAAAAAGAGCATGTTGGTATACCACAAAGTCCTTATAAATTATTTGCTGCTATGCTATTTTAAATGCCCCCACAGGGTATTTTTCTATTCTCAAATTCAGGGATTCCCTTACCCCACCTTTCAGAGGCTGCAAAAAATTGACCCCATAAATTTGAAACGTGTCAAATTGAAAATTGGCATTGAAGTAATTAGTTCCTTCTTTTAATATTAATAATTAATAATAATCAATAAGTAGTGTCAGTTATAATATCTATGTGGATGTAACCAGGGCTGTGTGTCAGTAATTGAGCACACCCTAAAACCATTTCCATGCCCCAGAATTTAGCACAGTTTCCAAATACTTCCAGAAAACAATGTAAATGGGGTTCAGATGATTAGAGCTGTATTTGGACAAATATTAGCACATTTAAGTACAACTTCCTGTCTTGATCTAGGTTTGCTTGTAGTGCTCACTCTGTTACCAAAACCTGAACACTGGACAGAGGGAACAAGTTCTTCACTTAAAGGGTTGTGCAATTAATTTCACATCACTTAATTTTAAAGGCCAGACTACCTAATTAAAACTTTTGATCTCCTGGTAGTCACTAAGCTTTTATAAACCAAACACACAGATGTTTTTAGAGCACAGTACCAGAAAGAGAGCCCAGGCGTTGGAAGAGAAAGGAGAAATGGAGAAAAGGGACTTTGCCCTCTCCCTTTCCCACCCTCTCCTACCTTGCTCTCCTTTTCTTTCACTCAGCTTCACAAAACTACCCTGACCACAGCAGAGGGAGGAGGAGGAAAATGTTTGGTCACTATTTTTTAGACAAAACGCCACTAGCATGGGAATACTTGTGTGAATTAATTCTCAGAAGTGCCTTTTGTACTTAGATATTCTGGAGCCTTTCTGTACTGTACTGGTTTTGTTGCTACAAGACAATTCAGGACAATCCTTTCCCAAATGGAGGGAACACAAAGGAAGGTGGTGCTGCTCACAAACAACTGTCACCTTGCTCATTGGTTTGTCCTGTCAGTTCAGAAGAAACTAGTTTTACATAAGTCCAAGCTACTGAAAATAAGCATATAAACATTTAAGTTATTAAGCATTAATGGTCTTTGTGCATGAATGTGTCTCCTATGCAGTATAGGCATTTTAAAGATACCAAAGTATTTAATGGTATTGTACCAGTCAAAAATCACTGAATTTCTAGGCCTCATTCATACAGGGAGTCTCACCATTTAAGATATTAACCACTTTAATACCAGAAGGTGTTTGAAATGTTTTCAACTTGTGCTTTGTGAATCACTGTGAAACTAAAGGCACACATATCCTGGGTTGGGAGTTTTGGAAGGCAAGAGAAAGAAATTTATCTGTACTAAATTCACACAGTTGAAGTGCTACTTGTGATTTAGAATGATTTAAAGGTATGTGTTGTCACACATTCTTCAGTTGCTGTTTTAAATACGTGGAAAATAGAGTTCTTTGAATTCTGATTGGGGGGAAAAAGGGAAAAAAAGGACTGTAAAATAACTGATTTTAGACAGATTATATGTAAGGTAGAGCAGGGGACAGTCTGGATTTATCAAGAGTAAAATCCTTCTGTAGACTTACAGCAAATGGCATCACTGCCTCTCAGGTTCTCCATCAGTCTCCTGTTTGGTGTCAGATGCTGGCGTTTCATTGCTTCTGTATAAATGAAAACAATTGTGTATATTTTTTTTTCTACTGAGTTTTCGTTCCAGTGTAATATATTGTCCTTACAACATCATGTAAAACTGAAAGATGAACCAACTTACACATTATTTATGATGGATGTAAAATAAAAAAATAATAAATTACTGTATGATCCATACTTGTGTCTTGTGGGTTTTATCCAAAGTGACAGTATTTCAGTGTCTTCCCATGGAAGCTGTAGCAGCTGCTAATACATCAAATGCATGCAGAAGGCTATAACAATAGAAAGGACAGTTTGGCGGCTACTAAATGTGGTTTCTTACACTGTGATAATGTGAAATTAGAGTGTAAAGACAGGTAGTAAACACAACTCTTAGCTTATTTTAAACTACACCTGGGTCTCAAATGAAGTTCACAGAACCACAGAATAGTGGGAAGGGACCTTTCAAGGTCACC